AAAAAAAAAAAAAAAAAAAAAAAAGAGTTCAGCATATTTGGAAAGAATAACTCATAGCAGGTAAACAGAATTGTCAGTGTTCCTTTCTAAAATATAGGAAGGGGGTGTTGAAGATTCATAACTTACCCTGTTCTGGGTTTTGACAGGTTCAACTGAAAGTAACAGATTTTGATAAGCCTCCTTGTCAGACAGCAACTTTCTTAGCTCATCAACACTAACAACATTAAAGAGTAAAGTATGATTACCAATTCATTAATGTTCACATAAACATTTCATCACTACCTAGTCATTCAAGGATCAAAATACTGTCTCATAAGTCTCTCAAATACTCACCGAATTGAAAAAGGTACATATCATACCATATTAAAAAGACAAACTAAAAAAGACCTGGCAATAATAAAATGAAGAGGAAGTTTGGTCACCTCTTATCTTTCAAGACAGCAATTATGCTTGCTGCCTCAGCTGGTGAAACATTAGGAACAGTGCTTGGCCGATCGATCGGTCTCGATGAGCCAAAACTGCTAGTCGTGTTCGCACCAGGTGTTGCTGGGCGTGAGGAGCTTGGGGTACTCACAACCGAAGGCGGATACCATGAGTCAGTTGGCACCTCCTGTGGCCGTGACTGATTTTGCTGCTCCTGAGAGCTCCTGTAAGAAAGATCAATCAGACAAAAGACTGGGCTTGAGTGAGAAAATTAAGTAGGACAATTGGTAGATCATGCAACTATGTAAGAATGAGAAGACAGTCATTAGAAATGCCTAACAGCAGTGTACTTTCTCCTGGTCAGTCCAGAGTCCATTCTAACATCAATTCACAGATTAACTCCAGAGAAGAAAGAATTAACACAGTCAAGTAACTCCATGTGCGCAATTAACATATGTGCCGAAAATATAACGATTAGTGCAAGAACATTACTAGCAAAGATAAAACATGGGATATCAATTATCAAGCATTCAGAAAGAAGCATAAATGCAAGATAAAACTATTCAGCAACATGCAAGAAAATCAATAGAAATTGAAAATGCATATGTGAAAATACGGCCAACAATCCCAACAAAGTTACCCAAAATCGAACAGCACAGCTAGCCTAATACTGATTTGATTAACCAAAGACTGGATTTATTCCTTGATATGTCTGTCATCCGAATTCAACACAATATCATCTAATTAGTAAATCATCTTCATAACAACCAATACAAATTCACACGCATCGATCATGAAGAGGACTTAACATTCTTCATCCACGGGCAAAAGAAATCATCCATTTTACCCTAACGAAAAGAAAAAAGAGGAAAGGGATATTGGTTGTTACCAAAAATTCTTGAACATGTCTTCGGAGAGGTCTCCGCCGTCGATCGTCCGCCGGAAATTAAATCGGGAAGAAGGATCGGTTAATTTCCGATCCGTAAACGTAATTGGTTGGCCTGAAGAAAATTCCCAGATAGAAAATTAAGGGCTCCAAGAGATCAGATTCGATTGCCTTTCTGCTGTTTTAGTATTATTAGGATTTTGTTCACATCTAACTTCAAACTTCAGCTTGCTGTTGATGTTATTCTGTGCTCGCCTGCTCGGGTAGTCGGGTGTGTTGCGTTCGTTTCTGTTTCGTCTTCTCTAAATTGCAGTTCATGCCCTTGAAGATGTTGAATTTTAACTTCGCCCCGTAATTTGCAAAATTTCGGTTTTAGCCAAGACCTAGTAATCAACATGTGCATTTGCACATAGAAAAATATTTTAAAAAGATAAAAATATAAATAAAAATAAAAATAAATTATAATTTAATTCATGAAAAAAATATGAATTAAGGAAATAATTCTAAAAATTGATTTTGATCAAGTAATTGTTATGGAAGAGCCGTTACAATCATTTTTTTTATGCTAATACATCCGACCATTTTCATGAGTGGGTGTGACTTAAAATTTGAGTACAATTTTTTAACTTCCTTGATTGGTTTATGCTCATAATTTATGGCATTCAAGCAAGTTATTTTGTAACTTAAAAATAAAATTGAATGTTGAAAATTTTGGAGGGAGAATAAAATTTAATGCATGATAATATAATTTAATGTTTTATTGCTCCTCTTTATATATATATAGATGTAATTTCAAACCTATGGGAAAACTGATGAGAACTAATGAGGACCAAAACAACATAATTACTATTAAAGAGTTGACAGCGCAGCTAATAATTTAAAAAATTATCGAGGCTTTTGAACCAACTATATAGAAGGTTGACTTCACTATAGAGCCAACTGTTGGGTTCATAGCAAAATCGGGCTTTGGAATACTTAATTCACATAACTTTGCGTTTGTTCACGTGCCAAAACATACAGTGGGTTTTTGGTGTCACATAAGCATTGTGTTAGCTTTTGGTCACCAATCTATAGTAATATAAAGAGGTTGTTGGAAAAATACAAAAATAGTAAGGTTGACCTAAAAAATAATGTTTTGACTTACTATTAATGGAAAGTTCAAAAAAACACATGTGAATCTTTAGTAACAAAATCTGAATCCTATTTTTTTGGTAACTAATTTGGAGATTCTTATGACAAAATTTGAATTCTATTTTTTTCGTATTATATTTTATTTTTTTTACTAATATTTAAATCATATATTTTTTGGTTACAAATTTGGAGATTTTTATGCAAAAAATGTGTCAATTATTTATATAAAAAAAATTCTAAATACAAATTAACTTAAAAACCGTACAAATTGAATACAAATTTTGAAAACAAATAGTTGTGTAATTCTTAACCAATTCTTCCAATCTTATTGAATAATTTTTTTCTTTAAAAAAAGTGAGTAAATTGGATAAAACTACGTGAAATTTTTATTTTAGAATAAAACTGATATTTAGACGGGATGTAAATTCAAAATAGTGTCTACATTTTTTGGTAACAAAAGTTGTTCATCTTTGATATATAAAAATTAAAAAAAATCTTAAAATATCCTTAAATATTTAACTTATTTGATATCAAGATTTGTTAGGTCTTTTTAAGATTAGTTATGATTTAAAAGAAAAAAAAAATTATACAAAATTTCACTCTAAATCTCACATTCACACTTAAGATTTCATAGTATTCCTCTAAAATTTGATCATCTTAAAAGTCTCAAATTTTAAAAAATCTCAAAGTGACACTCAAAATTCTAAACGAATACATATTATACATATTATTTAATATTATTTACCCGTGCAACGCACGGGCCAGTATTATAAAATTATGTAAATTATGTTGTGAAATATTATATTTTGATGTATGTTGTTTATGAGAATTTTTATAGTATGAAAGATTTGCATGTGGTTGAAAAATTATTACTGTATGACAGTTAAGCATGCCTAACAACAACTAATAACAACTAACTGTACCGTAAATATGTTTAGTCAACTCTGTAAGGTGAAAATTAAGATTTTTAGTGATGTTTTATTATGAACATAATGTTTATTTCACTTAATATATTTAATAGATATTTATAAAAATTATCCTCCATACAAGTTATAAAATTATTTATAAATTGTCAAATGTATAATATAAGTTGATCTATTTGAGTTAATATACTTTGCCGAATTGATTTACCAAATAACTTATTGGATCGTGTGTTGCTAGAATTTGAATAGTTGATTAATATTATTATAATAGAAAATATAATGAATGTTGTCACGGAGTTTTTACTGTTAGATCAACACATCAAACAGGTGTGTATTAATCTAACCGAAAATCTCTATGACTGCATGATTGCAGTAGAAATTAGTCATGTTTTTCATGTATATATATTTTCGATAATATAGTATGTAAAATAACTAAGAATGATTTAGGCCTAACAAGGTTTTTTTTTTTTCAAAATAATAGAGAATATTATTAAAACAACAAAGACCAAACAGTACAGCACCAGACCGAAACAACCTAACCAAAAAGGCCTAACAAGTTGAAGTTTTACAATTATTTACAGACTATATATTTTGAATCTCTAAATTGTAAGTTATAAATACTTGATTTATTTCGCCAAATGTTCAATAGTATTCTACATAATTTTACACTTATATACCGACTATATATTTTGAATCACTAAATGGTTAGTTATAAATACTTGATTTATTTCACCAATTGTTCAACAATGTATTCTACATAGAGTAATTTGGTCACACACGTAATATATATTTTATAATAAATATAGTATAATGTTTATTCAACTATACTTGTTTGTAGCCTTCAATGCAACAATAAATAAAGACTTTGACTTATAATTACTGATGACGTGGATCAGAGGTTTATAGTGATAGGTATAAATTATATTTGTGCAACTAAATTTTGTAGTTCAAAATAAAGGGTTAGGTAATTCTAACTATAGTTAGGTTCGAAAAGTGTAATAAGTGCTTGAGGACACATTAAATAGTGTCGATTTGAATAAGTAAAACTGTAAAACAACTCTACAAATACAAGGATGGACTTTTACTTCATAAGTTATAATTATTGTCATACTTTTCATAAGAAAAAATATCAAATTCTAATAAAAAAAACCCAATAAAAACATTTCTACATAAATTTTCATAGGTATTCCAACAATAATGCTAAGGAGTCAACTGTTGGCTTCGTTACGGAGCCAACAGCTAATGGGACAATTCCATGTGGGGATGTCCCACATTAGAGCCAACAGTTGGCTCCTTAGCATTACTGGATATTTCAATATCATAACTTTTGATATTCAGGTCATCATTAAAAGTGTCGTTGAAATTAAAGTTCTTTTAGTTGAATTTGATAACTTCATCGTCACTTTTTCCAATAGTCATGCAAGATTTATTGGAACATAGAAGAGCATATTCAATACCATAGCTTTAAAAGACAATTATTTTTAACACATGTCAATTAATGATTATAATATTAATCCACATAGGAATAACCTTAGCCCATGTCTGATAAATGGGATGGGATTGGACAAAAATAATACTATATTGTGGGATTGTACTGTTTGGATTATTTTTTTTTTAAAAAAAGGGAAAAATGAAATCATCCAACACAAACCTACATCAAATTTTGAAAGTACAAATTTTCCCCTTACAATTGAGATTTAATTCACCTTCAATCTGTCACTCACAAAAACCCACTTCAATTTTTGACCACATTCAGATGTAATTTCACCACAAACCCTAGCTTTTTCTCCTTCTGGATATCTTCCTCGATTTGCAGTCTGTTTGGAAACGCAGACGAGGGCCACGGTCTTCCTTCTGGCCAACTTCCTCGATGAGCAACGTCAACAATTTGGTCTGATATTTAGGTCTCCATCGGACGGGCGACGAGGGGATGAGGTTCTAACAGATTGGCTATTTCCACACACACACCTACTCATCGGCGATGAGGTTAAATTCAAGTGAGTATATAAAGCGTGTGTTTAGTTTTGCCGCATTTTTCTCTGAACATCAGTCTTGAGTTGAATATACTGTGTAATTATCTGTTATTTGGGCCCATCCAAAAAAGATAATATATAAATGAGGGTAAATTGGACTTTACACTTACAGGATTGGTATAATCCCAGCAAAAAAGGGGGGATAGAATTATCCCGATTTCATGGGATAAAGCAGTTTTTGTCCCGGGCCGAGCACTCCATCCAGGGCCGGAATCCTAGCAACCAAACATGGGATTAGGTCAGGATAAAGCGGGATATCCTACCTAATCCCAGAAAACAAACAAGGCTTAAAATACTCACTACAAAAAAATTGTTATATTCCAACGGAAAATCCTACGGTAATATATTCCAATGGAAATTCCAACAGACATTCTAATGGTATAGCTTCCGTTGGAATTATTCCAACGGAAATTTCATCGAAAATATTGCATTGGAATGAGTTTTCCATTAGAATTTTAGATTGAATTTGATGATTCCAACGGCTATCTTTCCAACGGTTTTTTAACGTAGGAATTTCCGTTGGAATTTTTATTTCCACCTCCGTTGAAAAATCTACCGTTGGAATCGCTAAAATCCAACGAAAATTCCAATGAAAAACTCATTCCAAAGGAATATTTTTGTTAGAATTTTCGTTGGAATTCCATTACAATATATTTGTAATAGAATTTTCTGTTGAAATTTTATCATTTTGTTGTAGTGACTAAAAATTGAATTAAACTCGTATCTTTAATGCATCAATTTGTTAAGAATTTATTTGTACATGTAGACCAATTAATTAAAGTAATTCATTGATACAAGAATAATAATAAATTAAACGAAACATAAAGTGAAGTGGTGAATCATCATGTTTAACAATATGATACAAAATATTAGAAAGTTGCTCAACATTGTCAATAGGGTAATTGTTATTTTAGTACCTGTACTATGGGGTAATTGTGATTTTCGTACCTATTCTTTATTTATTGCGAAATACAACCTGATCTTTACGTTTTTGCGAATTTGGTACGTAGTATTTACGTCGGTTTGCATGACTTTACGTTTCGGACTCGTTTGGGCTCATTCGAACTCGGAATTGAGTTCTGTCTTTTTCTACGCGTCGCCAACGAACCCCTCTATTCAATGATGCTTTTATGACCAAATTATTCTTGAAATACTATTCTTCCAAAGCTTATGATCAGCACACCAAAGACGTGTTTCGCACAACTTCGCGTTTTGGGCCCGTTCGAGCTCGTCCAAGCTTGAAATTGAGTTCCGC